GCGCAGGTGGCGCAGCTAGGGCAGGTGGCGCACCTGGCGCAACTGGCGCAGGTGGCGCAGCTGGAGCAGGTGGCGCAGGTTGCGCAGATGGCGCAGGTAGCGCATTGGCGCAGGTGCAGGGTGCAGCTGGCGCGTGGCAACGGCGCAGCTGGCGCAGGTGGCGCACGTGGCGCAGGCAAACCGGGTCGGTCTGGCCACGCCTTCCGACCGCACTCGATATGTAGGCCTCTGCATTATGAAGGCCCTCTCAGAGGTACTTGAAGTTTGATGTGTACTTACAACTGAGGTTAGAATTAGCACGATTATAGTTATTAACTGCTTTGGAGTACTTGTAGTCCCACCTGCGCCATTCAGTACTCTAAATCCCTAGAAATCATGTTATATGGACACTTAAAGAAGGGACCCTTGAAGAAGGAACCCCCCCATTTTTGCAACCCGGCTTGTTTCTTGTCAATTTAGGGGTACTCTTGGGGAGTCCCCTATAGTAACGATTCTATGTAGGGGTCTTCTCTGAGTTCGACAAAAAATTGGAAACTTCAAATTTCCCCGCTCTTCACCTCTAATCTACTCCCGCTGCTTTAGCAGCATTAGCGGGGCTGTTAAATTCACAATCCTTTGTTTGGGGTCTCCATCACAATGCTGTCCTATTCTTCGTGGTACCCCTCCCCAAAAGGGACAGTAAACGGATAAGCCTTCATTATATGCCATTTTAGGCTGGTTTGTTAGTTGTCTTCCGCGTTGGTACAAGGTGACGCTCGCGAAGGCTGATGCAGACACCTGGTCAGACCCGCAGAGGGCATGGCACGGTAAGGGATGGCTCTCTCTTGCTCTCTCTGTCTCTTTCTCTCTTTCTATCTCTCTCTCACTCTCTCTGTCACTCTATCTCTCTCAGTCTTCCTCTATCTCTCTTTCTTTGTCTTTATCTCTTCCTCTCTCCCTCTCTGTGTCTGGGCATGCAACCTCCTTTAGGCTGTCCCACAGCTGAGGCCCCAATTGCTGGGAGAGAGCTGAGAAGAGCGCAATTGGCAAGTTTTGCTTAGTGTTTTAACAGCATTGAGGGCCCTGAAGGATACAGAAAGTGGAGCCAAAGATGAGCGCATCATCGTGGGCTACTTTGCTTTGAGGGCCTCATTTTCTGGAATCCTTTCGGGGGTCTGGGTAGTGCTTTGTACAGCTGAAGCACGTTTTGCACACATACTCAGACGGCGCGGCGCTCAAGGCGTATCCGAGAGATAACACCCTTTGCGTCTTCGGCTGCAATCCGCAATTCCCTTGGCGTCATACAGGACATGCTCTCAGGAGCTGGATTCCCCAAGGGTCCGCAATTTCAGGAGTGCCCCCGGCAGGATGATGTAGAGATTAGTTAGAGAGCCTCCAGTTTTGTCATGCGGAGGTAGACAGCAACAACTTGAGAGACACATAAGGCGGGCTCCTCCCCAATGTTCTGGCATAATGTCGACTATTGATTTGGGCTTGATTTCCCCAACTTAAGATCCCTGACTGTATGACACGATGTGGTAGTGTGTTGGATCTGCGGTCTTGAGCCATTGGGCCGCTCCAAACAATGACATTGTAACTGCATAGGAGAGCACCCGGGGTATATACACGGGCTATGACAACTTCAAAAGGGACGAAATTTTGGGATCCTCCAAGGGGCTGGCACCCTCCTCCACAATTCCTCCGGGACCTGAACCTCAACCTTATAGTACTTTAAACCTTAAACACCTAAATCCTTAAACCCGAAATCCTAAATCCCTAGACCCCTAAACCCTAAATCCCTTTGACCCTTAAACCCTAAACCCTAAGCCCTTAAACCCGAAATCCTAAATCCCTAGACCCCTAAACCCTAAATCCCTTTGACCCTTAAACCCTAAACCCTAAACCCCGAAGCCCTAACTCCTTAAAACCCAAACGGTGAAACGTGTTGTGCTCGCAGCATTTAGCTTGTGGGAAATGGTAGACAGCTCGAGGCGGAGCAGACGCCTGAGGCGCCGATTTAGAGTTTAGGGTTTAGGGTTAGTGCTGAAAGCCACTCTTCTTGAG